CTCTCAGCTTTTCTAAAACTTAGAACAGCCACCTGGTTTAAACTCTTACCCCCATATGAAATCTTTATAACACGCCTGATGGGTCATTCTAGTTTGGATTTGAGACTTTTCAGATCGTGTCACAGGATTTGGATGCTTTGGAATAGAAACCTTCAAAGTTTTTTGTTTTGGGTTTTTTTTTTCTGCCGAATACTCCCTAAAGAATTTTGGAAAATCATGGATTCCTTTGGGTATTTGAATTTGACATCTAAAATTTTTTAACCATCATATTTGTAAGGAATTAATTTCTGGCATTTCCCATATCATGTATATACTTTAAATATCTATTTCAGAACATCAGATTGATAGATTTAGTTCATTCAGTTTGTATAATATGACTTCCATATGATCTATCAGATAAATGCAGCTCAAATTGTTAATCAAAATAGACAAATGAGGTTTACTTCTTGTGCAAAAAGTCTGGATTCATTTTTTAATTTAAATAAACTGGGATCTTTGTATGCCTGTGACAACTTCTCACTTCTAAATTCTCATTCTAAGATAAATCAATATACGGATAGACCAGAGCCTTAGAATGAGTCTGTCACCTGGATGAAATAAGGCATTACCCCATCAATATTTCTTACAGATGATCTTTATGCTTTGCTGTCACCATATCAAGAATTATACAACCTCTTGTTATTCCTTTGTTTTTATACCCTAAGTAATGCATGGTTGGTGAGGACTGGCGAATGTAAAGTTGGAGTGTTGACAAAGAATAAGTTTTAACCTTAGATTGAAACATTTTAGGGAAAAGGACACATAGAGGTTGTGGATTTGGGAAATGATTCCTTGAAAGATATACATACCCATTTACCCCTGGGAAAAAATCTTAATGTGCTCTCAGAGATCTGAGTCCCCCATTTTGGAAACTGCTGGCTTTGATGACCGTCTTCGGCATGATTAGAAAGGGCTTTCCAATACCAAAGTAGTGAATGGAAATATGCTTTCTACCCTTTATCTGTTCTACTATATTTAAGCTCTCTCGTAAGTACCTAGAGTAGGATAAATTCATCTTCTGTTGATGATGCTCCAAACATTTGAAGATTCTCTCCTGCATCCCTTATGTCTTTCTATCTCTAAGATTCATATTCTTAGCTCCTACAATTGTTCATTGTCTGTTACTGTTTTCAGTTCCTTTGCCCTTATAGTTATCCTCAAACTTATCATAAAGGATGCTCAAACTTAACAAAAATTACCTGAATTTTGATGTCCAAAACAGTATAATGCTTCTACTGTCAGGGATAAAATATTAATCCTAGTAATTTTCTTTGTAGCCTAAGGAACTACCATATACTGAATGTTTAGTGTATGCTTAGTGCATAAAATAGCACTGCAGAGAAGATACTATTGCTATTATTCTCATTTTACAGATGAGAAAACTGTCTAGAACTTCAGTCATTACTTTGCTTATTAATTAATCACTGGCTGGGCCAGCAGTTGATTTAACAGCAACATAACAGCTTACAGAGTGGAGGGATGCAAGGGCCCAGGTTCGTCCAGATAGATGATTGGGCAGAATGTCTGGCCCTGAACATCCTCTGACCAGGTCCCAGTCGATCTGTGAGGAGCCTCACATGTGTCATGTTGCTGTGGTCCAGAATGATGTGCCTAGATAACCTGGGCCTGGAGGCTTTTCCAGACTGGACTCTGCTCCACTCAAGGGAGTGTGTGTCGAGTGTCTGGTGGACTCGTGCCAGGGGAGGGGGGAGACCTCCAAAATGGGGCTTTGCACATCCCCTCCTCTGCTTTAACCAAACAGCTGTGCTTTTTTAAAATTTTACTTGTTCATACTTGTAGACAGCAACAGAGATAGAATTGAAATAGGGATAGAATTAGAGATACTGTGTGTGTGTGAGAGAGAGGGGTGGAAGGAGAGAGAGAAAGAGACCACTAGCTATGAAAAGAATACTAATTTTGGAGTCCACTTACTTAGTTTTGATATCCATAATATACTTACTATTAAGTGATCAAGTGACCTGGGCATGGTCTTTAGCTACCCTGAGCTTTCGTTTCCTCACCTGACATAGCAGGGAGTCACAGGGTTTTGTTGAGCAAATGAGCCAATGAATGAATGAATAAATAATTTTATGCTTTGGCAAAAGTAACTTTGCAAGGTTGGGTTGAGGACTAATGCTACTGCAGCCCGGCACATAGTAGGTGTTTTGTTGATAATAATAATAGTAATGGCACTCCTTGTCATTATTGACTCAGTGGTATTTTTCTGGATTGATATAACAGGTGCCTTTATGGTACATCTCTCTATGCTAGATGGAGATCCCTCATCAAAATTGAGAGCAAATCCTGTATGTTGCTGAATATTTGGAGTGCGCCTAAGTCAAGAGGGCCATTCCTATTAGAAAGGGAAGACACTGGAAATCTCAGAAGCTTCTTGGCCCTCCAGTCTTGAAGGTGTGGCTTGAGAAGTTTGGGGGCAAAAACAGTGGCAGCGTTTTGTCTGGGAGAAGTCCTGCCATTGTCCCAGATGTTCCAGAATCATACAGCAGCTCAGTGAGCTCAGTGCCTGCAGACCCAGAGGTGTGCGTGCTACTGTCAGTGGTGTTCCTGGGGTTTGAATTCCACTACCCAGTGACATCTAAGTCTGTGAGCACATTCGTTTTCTGGGTAAAAACAAATTATGAACCTACAGCCCATTCTTCTTGAAAGAGAAGGGGAGGTGGAAAGTGTGCTGGGCTTTTGACCTAAAAATTGATGTCTTTACCTAAATCATTTCCAGTTAAATACCATTGTCTTGTGGAACACATTCATCTGCTGTAGACTGTAAATTCTCTAAGGTAAGACCTTGTCTTTCCATAGGTTGTGGAAAATGGTGCACTTTTAGCACTCGTGGTGTAACAGATGGTTATCATTTATAACAAAAGAAAAAGAACAATGGCAACCTACTCACACCTGGAAGCTTGGGGTGAAAAAGGAACCCCCTTATATTTATATATATACTTATATTTATATGTATATTTATATGCAGTAATCCCATTACAACATATTGTAAAGGTATGCATGTTTCTCATTGGGAAAACCGGATAACTCATTCTTCCAAGTCTAGAAAACAGACTAGTGAGAGTTAATTCTAATTATGTAAAGATCCTTTGCTTTACCAGACAGTTTTTCTAAAGAGTCTCTTTAAATAGCTGCATCTCTTTTTGGAGTATTCAAAATTGGATTTTCCTTACAAAATGTTGATTAAACTCAACTTTTCAGGAGCAAAGAGATTGTACAAAAATGGGGCATTGCATGTCAAGTGTTATTGGTGAAGTCTCACTTAGTGATCACGAGGCTCACCATTCCGTCCACTGAGCCCATCTGAGTCAGAATGGCCAAATATGGCCCGTGGGTTTCTCAGGGCATCGGGGGTCCTCATTCTAGGTAGGAAAGCTAAGCCAGCATTGAGGTCACTGGCCATCATTAACCATGTGGGTCCTGCAGCCACGGGCATTAATCTGTGCTCTGAATGATCTTGCATGATTCAGCATGTACTGGTATTAGCTTAAATAGGGATACTTTTTTTTTTTTTGATCGAGACAATTATGAAGAAAAATCTGATGGCTTTTATTCAAATAAATGAAAACCAAAATTTGGAAGAGAGATATGCATTTCTTTCTTCATATGTAAATTGTGAGCAAGGAGAGGAAAAGGAGAAATTAGAGTAGGACCAGATAGGGACACAGGGTCCAAAGGCACCCCCAGATGACAAACAAACTTTTATTCCCTGTGTCATACCCTCTTTTTTATAAAACCCTCTACTTGCAAGCAGTTAGGAAGGTGTCAGTCATTCCTGCTATCTCCCAGTTTGGATGGATAGCAAGAAAAAGCACTATTTACTGCACCACTCAATTTTGCAGGTAAATATTGTACAGGCACTAAATTAGACTCAAAGGTGGGAAGAAAAGAAGACAGGGAGAGAAAAAGGAAATGCATATTTAATAAGACAAGTGAATGTTTCCAAAGATCATATGGTGTCTTTACGTGCTATTCCAAGCTGGTTTCTCCAATAGAAAAATGAGAATACTTCATTTTAAAGTAGCCTACTGTTAGCGAGGTGCACTATTCATACATTTGCAAGGGTCCTAAAGCAAGAGTTGATTTATCTCTGCCTGGATGTAGGTGGGGTGACCAGAATCTTTCAGGAAGTTCTGTCCAATGTGCTGAGAGGCTATTGTTAACACTGTAGCAAAGTAAGGGGGTATGCACAGAATTTTCATAGCACGGTTTATTTCTCTACTCCTCTAAGTTATTTTCACCTTCCTGCCTTGTAAGCCTTGTGTGTGCTTTGTGTGCTCACAAGTGTCTAGATTTCAAAAGAGAGTGTTTAATATAGGGAGTGAGTCTTGGGCCTGGAGATGTGTGTGTGAATGAGTGGAGGGGGAACCATGAGTCAGGCGACCTGAGAGGTAAGTTGAAGGCTCTTGTGGAGAGGAAAACAGTTAATTTGCATTGTTCAATGTTAAATACACGTTCGGGTTTGTATTTAATGTTTTGCCACTTGTGTTCAGAAATGCCCCTCTCATTTCTCATATTCACGCAGTTTCTGTTCAGAACCAGGCCAGCATAGACAGGTTTGCAGGGGAGAGCAATCCTCATCAGCCCAGGGAAAGGAGGAAAAAAAAATCGAATGTGTACCCTGCGGGGAGATGGCTCTCTAGAGTGTAAAAATGTGTTCCTGGGACCATGTGGAAGAGGGTTGAGGGTGAAGAAGCTGGGGAGCTGAAGCTTCCTCCCTTCCCAGGCTTAGGAGTGCCGAAGGTGGGTCTCTCACTGCGCCGTGCTGGGGTCTCTCCTCGTACCCAGCCCCAGGGAAGGGAAGGACCGGGAACTGGGAATGTATGGCAGAGGCTCACTCTGCCAGGATGAGATGTTAGGGTATGCGGGTGGGGTGGGGGCCTGAGGGGTGGCTTGGAGCCCTGGCAGTGGCTGCCTGACGTCACCGGCCTCTCTGGCAATAGGCTGTGAGCTGAGCTCCCCGAAGCGGCGGCGGCGGCAGCAGCGAGGCTTGGTCTCTGGCCCCTTCACTCCGCGCCTTCTGCAGCCGCCACTGCAGCCGCGCGGCGGGGGCTCCCTCCCTGCAGCCAGCTGGTGGCCCCAGGTAAGGGACGCGGTGCGGCTGAAGGTTCCAGGCTGCTGGGTGGTGGGGCGCGAGCGGGTCGGACAGCCCCGGCGGCCTGCGCAGGCACCCCTGGCCATAGCTTCGGCCCCCACCCTGCCCAGACCCGGCTTGCGCGCCTCGTCTGTGCTCCGCAGTGCAACAGTTTGCAGCTGCCTCTCGAGCACGGCAAGGGGGCTCTGCTGTGTGCTGCGGGTCTACCTGGCTCTGGTCCCCGGGAAGAGCCTCGGGCTGGGGTTGGGGAGGCCGGAGGGAAGGTCCGTTCCCCAAACTTTGCAAACGAAAACCCAGACCCTTCCATTTCCAGTCCCCCTAGAAAGAAGCAGGATACTGCCGAGTGCGGGGCACAGGAAGATGGAGAGAAGGGGGCGTTTGCGGGGATGTGCTTTAGCTGAAAAAGGTGTTTCAGCTGCTTTTCTTTTTCTGATTGGGGGGCGGGGGTACCAGGGAAGAAGACTGTAGAATGGAGGGAGCGTGATCCAGCGCGTCAGCTGTGGTCACGGACAGAGGCGGAGTGGGATGTGGTTGCTGTGGTGCCCCCTTGGGAATGGGACTTAAGGGGCCTGAAGCCGGCCGGGGAAGAGGAGTCTGGAGGGGAAGGGAAGAGAAGGCAGTACTGCGCACCCGGAGCCCGCTTGTTCGGCGCTTGGGGGTGGGTGCTGGGAAGGGTGGGATGCACAGGAAGACATCCACTAAGAGGGCGAAGGAAGGAGGCGAGTCGGTGCTCTGGGAAGCGGGGACCGCGTTCCCAGGCGGCTGTGTGTCTGTTCCAATTAGAAAGTTGTGGAGGGCCGAGGAAGGCTGCCTTATCTGCTGAGTAATCTGTCTCTCCGCGGTGCCGGCGCAGACCCCTTCCCAGCGAGTGGCGCGGCGCGAAAGCTGGCGGCTGGGGTGCGCGGCCAGGGGCGGGCGGGTTGGGGTCCCCGGGCTGCGGAGAAGACGGGCAGCGCCCGGCCGAGACAGTGTGCCCAGAGGGCCGCTTTGCGGTAGTGGCTGATCCTTCCGGTCCTCCGCACTCCCCTGGGCAGCGGCCGGGATCCTAACTAAGCCTGTTCTCTTTGCAGCGTGGTGCCTTGGGAGAGGAAAAGGGCGCGCGGACACGCGTTCCAGGCGGGGCCAGAGAGGACCTCCTGGGCACCGCTCGCTTCCTGGCCGGCTTGCTTGTCCGCGGTTGCTCTCTCAGCCCTTCGCTCGCGCGTGCATCCCCTCCCGCACCAGGGAGTAGTTTTGGGTGGCGTGGGCTCGTCCTCTTCTTTCCTGGTGGGAACGGTTGCCCAAGAGAGGAAGTCTGGTGGGCCCGGCCCCTCCCAGCCCAGCGCCGATGAGTGCCAGGGCGCCCAAGGAGCTGAGGCTGGCCCTGCCGCCGTGTCTCCTCAACCGGACCTTTGCTTCCCCCAACGCCAGCGGCAGTGGCAACGCGAGCGCCCGTAGCCCGGGCGCGGGCGGCAGCGGTGGCGGCACCTGCATCACGCAGGTGGGACAGCAGCTCTTCCAGTCCTTCTCCTCCACGCTGGTGCTGATTGTCCTGGTCACCCTTATCTTCTGCCTCATCGTGCTGTCCCTCTCCACCTTCCACATCCACAAGCGGAGGATGAAGAAGCGGAAGATGCAGCGGGCGCAGGAGGAGTACGAGCGGGATCACTGCAGCAGCAACCGCGGCGGCCGGGGGCTGCCACCGGTGGGCGGCCAGGCCCCCACCCATGCGAAAGAAACCCGGCTGGAGAGGCAGCCCCGGGACTTGGCCTTCTGCACCCCCTCCAACGCCTCCTCTTCGTCTTCGTCCCCTGGCCTTCCACGCCAGGGTCCCTGTGCCGCTCCACCTCCCCCGCCGGCCCCCAGTCCGCAAGGAGCACACGCGGCCTCCTCCTGTTTGGACACAGCTGACGAGGGCCTTTTGCAAACGGTGGTCCTGTCCTGATTGTTTAGCCCCCGCCTTCCCCTTCCTCATTTCCAGCATCTTTGCCGTCCTTGCTTTTTCCCTCCATCTTTCTTCTTCCACTTTTCTCTCCCCCCCCCCCCCCTTTCCCTGTCTGCCCTCCCCTTTCTCTGTTCCTCCTCCGCCGAGGCACTGTGCGGCATTTGTAAATACTGGGCGAGGAAAGTCTCAAAGAAGAAATAATGCTGATAATACTTTATTATTAATATTTATAGTAATTATATACTAATAACACAATCCAAGCGCATGACAAATCACCTAATTTCTCATTGTTGATGAAGGATGCGTCTTCCCTCTCCACCCTGCGCCCTCCCCCCCACAATAAGGAGAAGAAACCGCACAAGCTACCAAATATTTTTAAAAAGGCGTTGATTCCTGGAGCAAAGGGAGGGGAGGGGGCCTGGTGTGTTGTACATAGCTGTCAAGTTAAGGTTCACTTACCTTCCCCCCACCCCCAAGCTTTCACTTTTCCTTCAGCTTCCCTCCCTTCCCCATATCCACCCTCCGCTGGGCTCAGGCAATACTATATGATAAAGAAAACGTCTACATTAAGCACCAGAACTACAAGAGGCCACAGAGACAGTCCCAGAAAAATGTGTGTGACATGTACCCATCTCTGGCCAGCCCTCTTCCTCAGCCCTTAGTTAACCATTCCCCTTTCTAGGACCAGGCATTTAAATTTACTTTTAGAAATGTCCCTCGTTGGCTGAAAATCTTTAAATGAGTTGAAAGAAAGAGGAAAAAAAAGAGAAAGAAAGAATGAAAGAAAAAAAGAAAAAGAAACTCTATTGCTTTAGCTCTCTGCCCCGCTCCCAGCTGTCCACCTGTGACTTGGGGCGTCTTCAGGATTCACTGAGGATCCAGATGCTGTCCAGCCAGGTGTGGTGCTGAAACTGCTTCCCTGGACTGGTTACTTTCTTTGCTTGAGGAGGCAGAGGAGGGGCTGTTTTGAGAAATGACTATTTTAGCTTTTTGTTGGTTTCTTTCTTCTTTTTCTATAATCGGGTTTGCGTGTACTATTGGTTTTATTATTATACATTGCATAAGTTACCTTTTTTGTAAAAAAAAAAAATTTACTAGGTGATGTACAGTACTGAAAGTGCAGTATCTAACCAACCAGAATGTTTCTGTTTCATTCTTAGAGCAAGTGCACCTTTGTTATATATTTATTATATTGGTACCAAATACAGAAGCAAACTATAGTTCTGTACTACATCCCCCAAACTGTATAGTCTTGTTCTTCATTTCCAGCTGTTGATACAACGGTCACCACTGGATGAGCAATTCAGTGGTGCAGACCCGGCTTCTGCTGTTTCCAGAGGTGTTCTTTTGTACCTTATTCTGTAGTCGACTGTTATAAAAAGATAACACATATGTTTTCTTTTTTTCTTTTGCGAATAACAGAAACAACCACAACAGAAAACAGACAAATAATGGATGTGCAGGAATGCCATCTATTAAAACATGGTTAATATTTAAACAGTGCCTGTGGTCCTGCCTGCGTGCAGTTACCCCCGGAGGCAGATGGGGGGGTGCTTGCTTGTACTGTATGTGTTTGGGGGCGAGGCTGGTGGGGATATCGGGCGATTTGGATGACAGGACGTGCAAATTTCAAGGGAAGTTAAACCCGGTAACTACTTGTAGGATGACAATATTTGAAGCCTGTTCAGTTAAAAACTTGTGCCTGCATCCGAGGTGCAGTGAAGGAAGGGCTCCTTTCTCTTTCTCAGTCTGGCTTACCTGTGTTGGCTGGATACACCAAAAAAGATTGAGAGAAAAGCAAAGTGAGAAAGAAGAAGATCAATGCTTTTCTTCTCCCTCCTGATGCCAGACAAGGCCGTCTGTGTTAGAAATGGGGTCCACTTATGGTTATTTCCCACTTTGTTCCCCTTGGACTGGTGATAGAAGGGGCCAGAAACGTGTTACAGTCTTAATTATATGCAGTGGCATCCTTTCTTGGGAACCAAATCTTCGACAGCTGTTTAAATGTTTGGACAATGTAGGAATGTGGATGTTCCACAGAAAGCTCGACCGGAAGAGTTCTTATTAACCTGCAGAGTGTAAGGCGACCGTGCCCCTAAGTGCATCCCTCTTTGAAATAACTAGTAATTCTAGGTTCTCTGTCTTGGTTCCAGGCTTCTGTGCTCTTATGTAGAGAAGAATATTACCTATGAGGTTTTAGGTCAAGTTCCGTCTGCATCTTTTATACAAATAATTTAACAAGCTTAGTTTTAACCAAACCCATTAGATATTCACTCACATCCTTTCCTGAAGCACAGAGGATCATCATTTAAGCATGCCATGTTGTAATATTAGGAAGACCAGGTAGAATCTTTGGGTTCACTATATTAAACAATGAACCAGACTCTCTCCAGTGCCTTAGTCACTCCCTAGTAATAGGTAAAAGAATGCAGTACCTCCCTCAGGCCGCTAGGGAATCCTTTAGTGCATCAGAGCTCTACATTGTACATCAGAATGACTAAGGCACTGTGAAGAAGAAAGTCCATTAATTTTTGTAGCTCACCCTCATCTAGCTGTAGCTCTTTAATACCTTATTACAGAATGGCTTTCGGACTTGAAATTTGAATAGAACCAGAGACTCAGAAGGGAGCTTCCTCATTTCCAGTAAGCTCCCCTAAGTGCGTGGATATTACCTTCTTCCCCTTGTTTGGGGGCACTTCTTGCAGTGAATAATTTCCCATTTTACTAAAGCAATAAGATGTTCTGTCGTGAGCAGTGCTGGATGATGATTCCATTTCCTTGGTGCTGAAGCCACTCATACGTTCTTGCCTTATGAATCGCAGTGCATTCAAGGCATGCAATAATAACCCCTTCCAGGGAGAGCCGGTACACTCTAGCGGGTCATTATTGAGCGTCCTATGTCGGAGTTCCCCAAAGGAATAGAGGACACAGGAGAAGTGAAAGCGTTATGTATACCATTTAAAAAGCATCTTGATACCTCTAAACATGGCACACATCCGTAACATGCTCTCATTGTGCACCTTTAAATCTGTATGCCTTTCTCCATTAACTGACTGTGGCTTAATATTTTTAATAGTGCTCTTTGTAAAGATGATGTGGTTTGTGAGTCAAATTCCATGCTGAGTTTAATATACTCAGAATTCTAAGCTTCTGGTGGTGTCACTTGAGATTTTTTTTATGAGATAGTGAATTACATGAAATTCTAGTAACACCAGTCCCCACACCAAATTATTGCAATAAGCACATATCCGAGCAATTTGCACAGACCCTGTTTAGAACATTGCATCTTATTGAGCTCAGTTGTCAGTCTCAGGAGTTTGGGATGCTACCAACAGGGCATTTCGGATTTCATTTATATGAAACAAAAGGCAATCTGGAAATAGCTGCATTTATTTTAAGGATTTTGTTCACTGATGTCCCGTCAAATGAATTGCTTCAAATCCCTGCAGCTACAGCTCAACTTCCGCACTTGCTGTTCAGTATTAATAAGGTGGCATGCTTGATTCTTACTGTTTTTAAAAAATGAGAAAATTGGAGTGAGAAAACCATCATGTCAACTGTATGGGACTCTGAATCTTAAAGATGTAGATGAATATAATCTTCTTTAGAATTTATATACACCCATAGATATGTATTTATATATGCATACATTTTGTACAAATTTACAATGGACTTTTTGTATTCTCTTTTCTGTCATTACAAGAACGAGATGGAAACCAAACCATTGTGCCATCCTCTTATCCAGAGAGGATGCTGAGAAGTCAGATATATGCATGTACTTATTTCTCTGGGGTTAAATCCGAATGACTTTCTCTTTCTTTAATGGAAGGGAGAGTCTTGTTTGGCTCGGGGAGTTGGTAATTAGATAAGCTTCCTTTCCTAGTTAGTGACTCAAATGTAGCAATGATAATGAATTTGTGACCATACCTATGTGGTTTAAATATCTAGATGGGAAGTAAAAATATCTAGAAGAGCTTTTGGGCTGTCCAGACCACAAAACCTGGATTGTGGCTTGATTTTTTTATTTTCAACCTATATGTTGTGTGGAGATACAACTTATATCTGCATAGCTTCAAGGTAAAGTGAAAATTTAACCATTATCTGTTTAGTTTGGAATGGAGTTTTTGGATAATATGGATAAATTAGCTTAAAAAAAACTTTGGCATCGATCTTTTCTACCATTTTTGTCTATATCAATTGAATTAATTAGATAATGGTTAAAATTCCATTTTTTCCCATTGTGTAGACATGTGCTTTAAATGCTTTTCTGTGGGTAACAGTTGAGCAATTGCTAGCTGATATTATGTGGAAGTTGTAGGTTAAATTAAAACCAGGAACTTTAATCTGGTCAGGCTCCTCGGGTCCATTCTCCTGTGAATCTGGACTTTGAATCTGAATTTGGAAAACCACTTCTCTGGGCCATCCTTTTTGGGAATTAGTGATTTTGTCTCATAGATGTTTTAGTTCACGTTTGAATGAACTAAGCTATCTATAAAGGGGTTGAACTGAACCTTAATCTGACTCTGATTTGGTTTCTGATTTACTTGATAACATTTGAGAAACAGATTTGATGACTTGACATCAGTACTTACTAATGTCACCAACCAGTTGGTGCCATGTAGGAATGCTTAGCTAAGAATAAGAATTTAATTAACTTTAATTGAGGACAATGTCTTGTCAAGGTAGTTCTACCTGTTTGAAGCAGGGACACTTGTGATTCCATTGGGTTGTTCCCATAGGGGGATAAACAACAACGACAATGACAAGAGCAATGAAAAAAACTGATTTTTTGAACTCAAATATAACCAACAAACAGAATGAAACAGATATTAGAATTCATGGAAAATTTGTTTTGCTTTTCTATCAATAAAAGAGTTTTCTTGTTAATTGGCTTTTTGGACACTATTTCCTTCCTGATGTAGAATATAGTAAGATTATAAAATTACTCATGCTATTGCCCTCAGATGCTGAAAGAAATTAGTTTTTATTTTGAATTATTACTCATCAGAACTTCTTCACTTCAGATCAACTGCCTCACAAAACGGAAAGTTTATAAATTTAGTATCACCCAATAAACTGAGATTAGCAGTCCTTTGAGGCAGAAGCTCCAGGTCTCTAGGTCATATACTTAGTCTTTCAGATCTCCTCTTTTCCTGCCTTCTCTGGTATAATCAGGTATGTGCGGAAAGGATATGGCTGACATGATTTTGTGGCAGTGAGTGAAATGGGAAGCCTCACATTCATCTACATTCTTTGGGTCCTGGCTGAACTCCACTGGGAAGTGGTTGAATAGGACGGCTCTCCCGTCTGAAGTGCTGTTGTCCTTTCTAGCTTTCGTGCTGACTTTCACCGCTGAGTCTTAGACCCTGGGCCTTTCTCCTGAGTCTCAAGTCATTTTCCATAGGAGTCTGTGTATCCTGCACCCTGCCCCCACTAGGTCCAGCAGGCTGTCACACTTTGTCCTCTTGTAGATATGGGAACTTCTGGGTATCCTGCATGCTGTTGACCTACTATTCAGAGGCATGGCCCCACCCGCCCTTGCCACCCCAGTTCAGCCAGCCCTGCTCCATGTCAGATGGTGCCAAGAGCAAGGTTTTACTGCTCCACTCTGGTCCATTCCAGAGGGTGGGGTGGCCAGTATGCCCTAAGCCTTGGACTTCTCCAAGACTATGTACATGTGTATGAAGCAACACCCCTTCTTCTTGTGTGTAGAGGAGAGAAGCTCGAACCCCTAAACAGCTTCCTGCCCCCCCTCTTCCATCTCCTCTTTTTTTTCTGGGAATTGCTCCAAACGG